GTTATTAATTTAAATTAAATTAGCAGTTTATCAAAAAGAAATGTAAATTATTGAATTCATATAATTTTAAATGTATGATTTTCATATATCCAAAATGGATCCTTATTCTTGAAATCTTAGGCTCTATGAATTTAATCTAAATTCAATACAAATTTCTTAATTACATCTCAAGATAATAAAATATGAAATTTTATGAAAAATTACTTTTTTTTGTTAATATTTCATCATTTATTGAAATTCGAAGAATAGTGTGATAAGATTGTATAGCTTAATAATATTCTTTAAGATTATGTAATGTTAATCCTAAATTTAATGTTGAAACTCGTAATCATTACTAAAATAATAGTGATGATTATTAGATTTTATATTAATCACTCTTTTATAAGACTCTACAGCTTCTAGATAACGTTCAATTTAATATATATTAAATCATCTTCCACTATCATAAACAGTTCCTAATATTTTATTATGATATTATACATAAGGTTTACCTATATTGTAATATGCCTCATCATTATGAAAATTCATTTTTATTTCCAATCATAACATTCAATGGCTTAATCAAAATGTTTCAATTACGTTAGCGCGTATCCTGCTCTGAGATATAATGAATACCTTTATTTAAATAGATGGCATCATTTTCAGAATTTTAAAGCTTTGTTATAATTTGCAACTGCGTTTTCAAAATATTATACTTTTGCTAGTGTTCAAAATAATATCGCTGGGCTTGGAGCATTTCCTTTTGTATAATTTTTATTAAATACCTTTATAATAGTAAGTGGATGCATTACTCTATATAAATGTATCGCCTTATTATAATAAATAATAGCTTCTCCATAATACTCCATCATCATTATTGTTTCTCTTAATCTATTAAATCATCTGCTTAAGTAAAATTAACTTTATTGCCTTTATTAAATACTGAGCTTAGTTTTGGATTGATTCGAAATATGTTTGATTTTGTTTGGGTTGATCACCACTTAATAAGAAGGTTAGGTTACTCTAATAATTCGATATGTATCACATAGAATATACATTCCCAAAACATAAAACCATAAATATATAGAAAAACTATAAGATGCACCAATAACCTCATATATATAGCCAATCCATTATTTACTCTAAAATTAGATATCGTTAAGAATAATAATTAATTTAGATTTTTTTGGGTTTGGGTTTGGGGTTGGGTTTGGGGTTGGGTTTGGGTTTGGGTTTGG